TCTGAGATTGTGTTACTACTCTGTTACTTCCCTGTACTCCCATTTTAAAACCGTTTCCTTGTTTTTGTTGACCTAAAATCGCTCGCGGATATGCTGCATCAACCTGTTGGTAACGGTTTGAAATCAATTTATCACGCATATCTGGTGACTGTGAATTGTCGACGGTTTTAGGCTTTTGTAATCCATATTTTGCGCTCTTGTACATGTCATCCATTTTATCACTTTCTAGCCTCTTTGAGAAAATTGCGTTTTTTTCATCCTTACTTACTTTTTTAACAGCTAATGGTTTTGTGGATCCTTTAAATTGTCCACTTAAATTAGGTGAGGGACCTGAATGTAACTGGACTTTCTGACCAGTCCTCCAGTTGTTGTTACGGTCTCCTTCTTTATTTTTCCTATAAGGTTGGAATAACTTATTTTGGGGTGTGGTAAATCTTTGAAATAAATTGGAAGAGTATGAGCTTTTGCTTTTATTCCAGTTTTTAGCACTTTCTCGAGGTTTACGCTGATTTTCTATAGGCGATGCTGCAACTAAACGTTTTGATTTACTTACTTTCTGATTAATAACAAAATCTGATATATGTTGGCACTTTCCACCGCCTTTAGAAGCTAAGCATAACTAAAAAATATTAAAAGTAATAGGTTGATAATAGATTATTAACAAATATATAAACTTATTTATTATTGTTTTTTTTTATATATTATATTATATTATATTATATTATATTATATTATATTATATTATATTATATTATATTATATTATATTATATTAATAATATTTGCTGTGCATTCAGAGTTTCATAAGTAGCTTCGTGCTTTGGACAGTCCTGATATAGAAGATGTATTTAAATGTTATCTTTTTAAAATTCTTTTATAGATTTATTTACTTAAATAAAAGAAAAAGAACTGATTTATGCTACAAAATTATTTATCAACGACGTTCAAGTATCGCTCACTACTCCTGCTGAAACTCCATTATTCGCAAAGAAGAGGAATCGAACTGACTTCTTCAAGAACAATCGAACTCAGACAAATTCTAAATTTATTTGAAGCTCATACAAATATTTAATTTAAATCTTAGATAATCACTTGTTACCCGAAAATGACTATCGAAACTATTGGAAAATAATTTTAATAAATAATACACAATTTCTATTAATTAATACACAACTTTTGATCATAAAAAATTACTTTAATTATAAATTTGAAAACCAAGGAACGTACTAAAATCGTGTATTCATTATATGAAAATATGATTTTTATTTAAAAAAAAATCTTATTTACTTAGCTTAAAACTATAGACCAAACGTTATTTGGTAACATTCACTGTTCTACTCTTTTCCAATACTAAATTTACCCAATACTAAATGTTTTTACAAGACGTCAAAATGTCAAGAAGATGTTAGGGTTATCGTATATTTCTTTTTGCAAAATTTTTTCTAACTATTGTGAATAATACTTTATAAAACAGATTAGTGAAACGTACTAGCACTTTTTTTAATAACCTATAGCACCGAGCAGTCATTTCGATACACTTCTTTTATACAAATCAACTCATAAATCCATATCTTTTATACATACTTATTCAATTTGTTACCTAATATATATTTATCCTTCAAAAAAACAATACCGCAGTACCTAATAAATGAAAAATGGTCTGAACTGGCTTTCGAGTTAAATATGATTTGAATGATTTTGGTATTGATGATAACTGGAAACTAACTGTGGCAGAAAAATGTAATAACGAAACTAAGTATTGAAGAACGCTGAAATTTTGTAGAAACAGTATCTCGAGGGATGCATACAGTGAGCTGAATTATGATCTAGATTCCAATAATTACTTTCACAAGCAATACGACGTAAAAACAATACGGACAATCTTCAAAATCCGTGGTCAGCTTGTATGATTGTGTATGATTTGCACCCTTAAATTAAAAGGTGATGTAATATATTTAGTAGGCTAAAGCCCAATTTTTAAAGAACATAGGTTGCTGTATTTCGGTAAACTTTCGCTCGATGTCGATGAAACCGTACTAATACTATATGGACCCAACTGAAAGGCTGTGTCACAGTGTGTATAAGCGTTTGAAATAGCATATTTCCGGTTGCGAGGTACATTTGGCTTGGTTCAGACTTTCAAACTTGACCGTATGTTAAGTAGTTAAACAATATCTTGGAGTACTCACCAAAATTTTTTTGAGGAAAACAGTTAATACACCATTAACATAATATAAATGCAAGACTGTCGTTAAAAAGCTTATTTTTTTATCGCTCAAAAATGTTCTTTAAATTTTAGAACTTGACTGTAAAGGAACGGTGAACTGGACTGACAGTCGAATTCAGGCGAGTTAAGTGCCGTGCATTTATGGATCCTTGTGAACCCCGTAGGTTATCATATGGTCTAGTATCATTGGAACAAATGTTTTAAACTGAAATGAAACTACGTTTGGACTTGGATCTGTAAATGGACTTGTTTCTGTAAATCTTCAGAACATAAAGCTTAATTTTTACGTAACTTCTAGAGTACTGACATTAAATTTTTTGCTTTTCTAATAACTTTTTTAGCATAAAAATTCTAACAAGTGCAGAACGCAGTGTATTGTTCAATATTTAACCCACATTATATATAATATATATGATACTAAACAAAAAAAAAGTACATCTGCAACCAGTTTTATAATCGAATAAATTCAAAAGCCAACACAATAATAATCAGAATATATACATTTTTTATTTTGATTTAGCTGGCTATCATTCTGCTTATTTAACACTAAATAAATTTTTTTTTCAAGTTTAAAGAATATAAGCAAAAATATTTTATATTATATATAAAAAAAAACATAAATAAAAATACCATCACATACAAATTTTGCTTTTGTAGTTTTAATACGTAACATTGCATAAGTTTATTATTAGAAATTTTTGTTTTCACAATGGGGTCACATAGGGTCACGAAAAGTGCAAGTGGTAAAAATTAAAATATCCACAAATTTACTAAAACGTATAACCAAAATAACATAAGGTTAAAATTTATATATATAAAACTATATATATCGACTATATAAATTTAATTTATAACTCTGAAGAAGCCTAATAAGGCAACGAATTTTATGAATGAATAAAATTTTAATATTATTACGTACCAATTTTATGGCAGAATAATTTTATACATATTTTTTATATAACTTTTTGAACACGTCTCGAAGACTTTCCTCAAAGATGTTCGAAATAATACTAAAGCATTATTTCTTCTTATTGCACTCACCATACCATACCTTGCTAAATTTAGAGACGAAAGTCAAGTGCGGAGAGCTATTGAAATGAATATTTCAAATTTCAAAGTTTAACAGACCATAGATCACCACCGCGATCACACATAAAACTATAAACTGAACATTTTGGTGCAATGAATTTGTCTCAGATTGAGAGAGAGAAAGAGCTGAATTAAGATATAAAATAAATTTTTTCCTATATTTGCTATGTGTATCTTTATAACCAGCTGACAAAACGCTTTAGAATTCGTGCACAGAGTAACTTTTATTTTGGAAAATATAATTGAAATACAAAAAAGTATTCTTAACAATAAATGAAAATACATCTGTAGAATGCATAAGTGAAAATATTGTACAGGGCAACCAAATGATTGCTATATATTTTTTAAACGTCATAGCGATCATTATTTTCAGCAGATTCCAAACAAAATTGACATTTGTGTTAAGTATGACTAGCAATTTACCATCCAGAGATACATAGCTGCACATCATATAGAAATAATTAAAATTTATAACCAATCATAATAGATTGGTTATTTTTATTAACCAATCTATTATGACTACGTCGGTTTGCACATTATGTGGTTAAAATAATTGCGCTACAGAGCTTACAACTCATGATGTATTTAAAAAATTCTATATCTCGAATTTTCTATAACTTGAACTAAAAAGAATGCAACAGCGTTTCAGAGAGCAAATTACGTACGATTCTGCAATTCTACATTTATAACTCAAATAAAAGTACATATTGTGATATGCAAATAGGAATGTGGGAACGTGCATTCTATAAGTCGTATTTTTGTATTTAGTATGAATTCATAATTGGAATTTGGGGAAGTCCCTTTTTTCAAACTAAATGTTTAATTTTTCTTTTCTTATGTTGCTTCTTTGTGCAAATACAGCGTGGTTTAAAGTAAACAAAATAATTTTCAATGCTAATCTTCACGATTATATGGAGCTTGACAATGAAATTTGTACAACAAGCTTTCCTACAGATGACGATATTATTGAGCACTACAGTTCTAAATTACTGGATTCAATTCTAAGTGCAGCGGAAAGTGATGATGAGGGTTCGGTGGATAAAATTGTTCATTAGCCTTCCAAAAATGAAGTAGAAGACTTCTGAATTAATTTTTATTTTCAAAAGAATGATACTACAACTGATGATCACTATAAGGCTAAGGAATCTCTTTTTACTTGAATATAAGAAAAAAAATTAAAATCCCAAACCCTAATTTCTGAAGTTTTTACTTCACTATAGATTCTGGTCAATTAATAAAAAGATAAATATGATTTTATCTTCATATTATCTTTATATCCAGCCCATCAAAAATGAAAATAAAGATGTTTTGAAAAACAAAAAAAAAACAAAAAATAATAAATGAATTTATTAATATTTTATTTATGGTTGATTTTTATTATTAATTAATTTCTTAAGAAATTAAACGCGATTTCTATTTCAAGGCATACAAAACTTAGTCAAATTAAGCTGTTAGTTTTAATTTATATATAAAATAAAAAGTAATCAAGGAACATTAATTCTGGTATTGTCTTTTTAATCCCTACTATCCAATATCTGATCCAATTAATACGCTATACAGAGTATTAAAGCACACATATTAAAATAGTTTAATATAATAATATATATATATATATATATATATATATATATAATAATATATATATATATAAACCCCTACTATTCTACTATCTGATCCATTAAAATTTAACAAGGTTAGTGAGCAATACTTGAATGTTATGTTCAAGTATCTCAGGAACATAGGTCAAACTGCTGCCTCTACACTTTGATTATTATAAATATGTTTTATAATTTATTTAATAAAACAAATTTCATATAAAGCTTGATTGATTCAATAATTTTAAAATGATTTAAATAAAGCTTATATAATATAAATGTCATTTTATATATAATTATTTGTTAAAGCTATGTTTTCGAAATACTTACTTCATTGTCAATTCGAGTAATAACAAATTCATTAGTGTCCTTTAAAAGATCTTCAGGGGCTTTATAACCCAAAGCTATAAATGGTAAAGGACCTCCTTCAACTTGTGGATATTCTTTTAAAATATCACGTAGTTTGTAGGGTGGCTTCTTAGATGCTATAAGAGCACGTACGACACTTACAACTGCACTTAATTGTTCGGCTTTATCAGAATTAGATAAAGTTTTCTTATCACTTTCAGTTCTTAGTGACATTTTAGAACTTCTAATAATTTATCTTGAACTTCAAAATGCTGTGCAACCTGAAAATATAGAAAATATAAATATAATTATCATGTACTATTACTGACAGTTGATAATAAGTATATATACATAAATATATATTTTAAATTAAATAAAATTGAATACATATCACAGAATTATTAAGTGTTTAGAGTTTTTGATTGCTTCGTAGTAGTGAAAATCCTATCCATGAGTTCGATTATCGCATTTCCACTATTTAATTTGCCACATAGTTGTTTCTAACTTAAAATTTATTTGTTTATATAGGCAGTTCGATTAGATTCTATCCATGTGGTTTTGAACCCTCTATAGTTAATTAAGGTTTATTTCGCCCACCTCCCGAAAACTACTTTCCCTCTTAAGTATTCCTGACCTATATGAGTATTCTCAGCTACCTCCCCAAAACTACTTTCTCTCTTAAGTTTCATTACCTAGATGAGTATTCTCAGCTCCCAAACAACAGGACATGAAATGTAAATCCGTTTGCCATTCTTATTGTGTATAGTATTCCCAATTATATTAAGCTTTGAAGCATGAATATGTAAGATGATTTAATTCATCACTGGTAGTAATATTACACATGACATGCGACGATTAAGATTAACAAACTTTTTATACTATTTTCAAATATTATATCCACGTTCAGATATATTAATGTTTACCAATATCTTTAAAGAGGTTTGCTGGTAATACGCCAATAACTAAATGTTACCAACCACAAAAGGTTAAAAATGTGGACAACAATACGTAAGTTGAAGATAAAGTTCACCGCCATAATTAACTGTATTAAAAGCATAATGACAGTTATGTATACAGTATAATCGCATTAACTGTATAATGCATTAATAATTTTTGTTTTAAAAACATTTCAATAAAAATAGAAAAAAACTAAAACCTTATAAATTTCTTTGAATAGTTTGTTATTTTTAGAGCCAGAGCCCTATTGATCTTAATTAGCCCGCAAATGAACCCAACTGTTCAGCAGACAAAAAGGTTAGACCTTTAAAAAGCGAGGTGCTTTCATTACATCGATTGGACTTTAATGTTAATGTTAGCTGTGTGGTAACTTTTAAATGTTTTTAAATTGTTTGCAAATTTTTACACATTTTGCACTTGAAAGGTTTAAATAATTGTTAAACGAAGTATGAAAACTGATTTACCGGTGCAAACACATGCATATATTAAGTTTAGTAAGTGCTAAATTTCTTTAATAGAATTAATGAATAGTAATTCTGATTATTTGTGTTCCAGAGGAGCACACAAGATAAGTTTTTATACCCATGTCAATGTTTTGATTTTGTCGAAAAATTCGATGTAAGCTCTTTGGTCCTCTAGGTGTAGGCAACGACCAAAATGTAACATGACATTAACATTTCTTTTATTAATATTAACATTTGGCGATTGTCTATTAAACAAAAATATTAATGGTGTAAAATAGAGAAAGAGGACAAACTTCAATTGGAAAAATACTAACCGCATACATTATTAAAGGAATAAGTATTTTGTGTCGAAGACTAACAATATATTTTTAAATAAAAATCAAACAGTATAGTTTTGATACTACCTTTATTCAAGTTTGTTTATTAAAAAAATACCAAAAAAAGATTATCGAAAAAAATGATGATCATGCCTAAATCGTCGTCCACTCTCTGAAGCAATTGTAGTTCACATTTACTACAAATGTACGGAGCTCCACTATTCGTAGGGAATATAAAATATTAAACAATACTTTTGAATATTTATTCAAAATAAATATTCAATATTCAAGAGTTTTTAAAGCAATTTTAGATGGCATCTACTGACACACATATTCATCAGTAAAAATGATCTATTTTGGACTTTCTTCATCAATTTCAATATAATAGGTAACAGTATGGTTTAGGAACCTCAAGACTGCTCGATGCAGAATATTTTTGTCGTTATATTTTATGAAATTGTAAAATTTTAAAATTACTTGAAAATATATATAACACCTGTATTACACCTATTTTACTTAAAACACAGATTCATCAAAATCAACATTTACTATTTACCTATTGTCTTTTCAAAATTATTTATTTCATATATTTTTATGAATTCTAATGAACCCCTTATATTCTTTTTAACAACTTTTCCCTATACATATTCAATGACGAAACTTAAAGTAATAAAAATATGACTGACGCAAAAAATTATTAATGGAAACCCTACCTTTTTTAATATATCACATATTTTAATGTTTAATATATCTACAGACATATTGACTTCTACAAAAATTTATTAAGTATATAAATCTATATATTATTATATATAGTTAATATTTTATCAATGCTATACTCTTTTTAAGTATACTAAAAATATTTTTTAAATTTATAGAAAAAATTAAATTTTGTAATTAGCACTTAAAAGGAATTTAAAATCAATTCTTTTACTTTTTTTTTCATTTTTTTAAATTTTTATAAAAATTTTCATTTATTTTTTATCTCTAAATCCCTCTCTTTTGCTATAAGTTAAATATTTTTTAGGTGTATGCGTACTCTGAAAGAATGTTTTTAAAACAACCTACAGCTGTTCACACAGAATATACGTTTATATGAATATAAATATATATATATTCCCACTAGAATTTTGTGTTTCTCTTCAATTACTGCTGCACTTAGAATCACTTGAAAGCATTTGAGTAACTAATTCATGACCTAGAAATTCCAAATACCCACAATCATCCCATCAAAGTATTGTGGGGCACAGTTTGTTTTCTTTTTTTTTTTTGCTTTGTCGGTACGTGCCGGGATTAATGATATAAAATTAATTTATTTCAAATGAACATTAAAAAACTGAATGTCAGCCAGAATTTAATAACATTTAAATAAATTTTTCATATCGTTCTCAAATATATTAGAGAGCAAATTTTTTATTCCGAATTCTATTTCGTATATTGTTAATTTTTTATCAACAAATGTTATGTTATGTTATGATGATTGCATTCTCTCAGCTGTTAATTACTAATACATTTTATAAAAGTTTTTAAACAATAAAGCGATATATGGAACACTTAGCCGTGTGCGAGTTCGAGTAAATTGAGTAAAGTACTTATGTAAATACATTTATGTTAACATTCATTTATTTATTTATTGCACTTATTTATTATTTTTGGTTAAAAGTTTTCAAATCTATTTATTAAACATCTTATAAAATTTTCACAATGGCAACACCTAATTTAATCTAATTTACCCTACTTGAAACTTTGGTAAATGCCAACATTCGCTGCCATACGACAAAATTTACTATTTCTCTCAAATTACTATCTGTTTACTCGAACTCGCACATACCCTTACTTTAAGATCAAGTAATAAATTTATTTATATGATATATATTTACTGAGATATATAGGTCGTGTGCGAGTTAGGCTAAGTTGCGTTCTAAATGAGGAAAATTCTAAGTTGTGTCGATAATGTAGTGATGTGTCGATATATGTTGATAAATGGCTAAATGTGTGCAGTGCAAAAAATCCCAAAAAATCTCCCATTTGGTTTAGCACCAACTTAGCCTAACTCGCACACGTCCATAGTTGCTGATAGTAAGAACTATGAGAAGAGAAGTATTTCAATTTTTTTTATTCATTCTCAATATAATATATTTTTTTATTGACTTTATTTTATAAATTAAAACATAAAGCACAATTGAAAAATAGTTATATTGGACCCAATAACAGTCGCAAAAAGCAAAAGCAACCCGCCAAACACTGTTTATTACATTTTAAAACCAACAGTTATTGAAGAAGTTAGCACTTATAAATTTAAACAACTCATACGGATTTGTCTCAGTTAATATGTTTCATTGAAAAACACAGTATTGCCAATATTAAAAACCTTAATGAACAATAAATTGTGTTTCAGATTGAACATGATTAGATTGATAATGATAATTCAAATCTCTTAAATGAGCAAATAAATTAACATTTAAGTACTTAATGATAGCTTATGCATCCAGCTGTTAAAGCTATAATTTTTAGTTATACTTAATTATCATTTTCTGATTTTTTATAAAACAATATCTTTCGCAACCTATCAACAACAGTTTTATTAGGTATGGACCACGTATTTTATTCGACAAACTATATGCTAACTAACAAACTATATGGAGACAAGTACATAAATTTGAATATTGCAAATTATGTATTATTAATGTTTATATATTATAACTAATACTAATAACGAAAGTAATACAAGTTCCAAACTATAATTATTAAAGGTAGATAATTTCTAACGAACAACCTTATATCAGAGCTCGGCAATTCAACCTGTCAGTTTATATGATTAAGTTTGTTTCGTATATGGAGTGCGTTTTTCCGCTACACAATTTGGTAGTTTATATTAATTTAC